ACACTTACTTCTTCAGTTTCTCATCCAGCTGCTGCTTATCATTCTCCAAATCCATGATGCTGTCCTGGGCCAGCTTCAGGTCTCCTTCCAGCTTCCTCTTAGCTCTCTCCAGGTCCATGCGCAGTTTCTTCTCTTGCTCCAGGGACCCTTCCAGCTAAACACAACAAGACCATCAGGGCTCTGCCAGCCAGGTCAAGCTCCATACCTGTCCTGTTCCTGCTCTGTGTGTGCTTACATCATCCACTTGCTGTTCCAGCTTGATCTTCGCCTTGGTCAGAGTATTGACTTTGTCTTCCTCTGCCTGCAGGTCATCCAGGGTCTGCTGATGGGCCTCTTGGAGGGCTTTCTTCTCTTTTGTCAGCTTCACAATGGTCTCGTCCAAAGCTGCCATCTCCTCAGTCAGGTTTTTCACCTTTGAGAAGAAAGAAGCAAGTCCAGACAGAAAATGGTGCTTAAAACTTTCTAACAAATCTTTCCAGAGTGTGAGTGACAGGTTCTACCTCATACCTTGTTTTCGGTGGCGTGTTTTTCCTTCTCCACCTTGGCCAGTGTTAGCTCAAGGTCATCAATATCTTTCTTCAGCTCTGAACATTCATCCTCCAGCTTCCTCTTCTTGGCTGTCAGCTCAGCATTAATTTCTTCTTCATCCTCAGCCCTTTCAGTCACCTCCTTGACTTTGGCTTCCAGCTGGATTTTGGTTTTGATGAGCTGGTCACACCTTTCCTCAGCATCAGCCAAAGCATCAGCTTCCTGATAGAGAGATGCCATTTTTAGGGATATGCTTTTTCAGGGAATACTGAGATACTTAATCTTCATATTGCAGTGCCTTGGATAGCAGTTTTCTAGTTTAAAATTTGATTCATGTTCCAACAGAAGGACATATTATATTGAATTGATTTTATGTTATTGATTTTGAAACAGCCAGATTTAAAAGCTAAAACCAAGTAAATTCCTTTTTAATCTACTTGAAAAGGAGATTGAGTATATGCATAATGAGTATTTATGTATTTGTGCAGGGCATATAATCCAATATTATCTTGTAATATTAAACATTGGATCAAAGTGCATGATAAGAAGGATATCTCAGTGTACACTGTAGAAAAGTGTCATCCGTGTAGTATTTTGACTACAGATTTCTTACAGTCCTTATAGAAGCAAGCTATACCTTTGAGAGCACCACTTAAAGAATTACAACTCACCTGAACTAAATCAAAGATTCTATGTGGTTTGAAAACATGCTTGTAAATAGCAACTGTAGTCACAGTATAATGAGGATAATGTTGACTGGTGGTACTCACAGATTGAACCTGGAGCTGCAGGTCATTTTTCTCCTGCACCAGTTTCACCATTTTCTCCTCAAGTTCCTTCCGCTTTGCCTCAGACTTCGCAAGCTCTTCCTTGGTTTTCTCAAACTCCTGTTTCATGTTTGCCATCTCCTTCTCAGACTCTGCACTCTTCAGCAAGGGCTTGATCTTGAAGAACAGCTTCATCCATGGCCAGTGTTTGACATTCATGAATGCACGAATGTTGTACTGGATGCAGAAGATGGACTCCCTAAAAGGTAAGTCGAAGTAATATTCAGTATTTACACCATGATGACACAATAAGCCAAGTAGAGTGAACCTGATTTGAAGAAAAGTTTACCTTCTCTCCACCATTTTCTGGTACTCCACCCTCATCAGGTAGCCCCTGCACCTGGCCTGGGTGCGGGTGATGAGCTGTGCCAGCTTCTCATCCCTCATCTCTTCCAAAAGGCCCACCAGCCCAGCTTTGAAGAACACCTTAGGTGAGAATAAGGAAACAGGTGCAGTATCTGTACTTGTTTAACATAACCTGATAACCCATGACATACACTACGGAAGTTAATAGCAAAACCACAAAGAATATAGGTAGTGGCAGACACTCTTTTATAAAAAACTCCAAGCTTCTTGTTACTTGCAGTTGAGGAACTTACTTAAACAGCCAGACATTTTTCTTTTATTTTTATTCACACTTGACTCTTTTATTCTAAAACTTTGTCTTAAATTAGGAACTTGATTAACGCTTAATTAAATCATCCTAGGACCATGAATTTCAATTTATTCAAGTGGTGAGTAATTTCAGAATCTGGTTGATTTATTTTACAGTCTTTCTTATACCATATTGGATCATTTCATGTGCTATCTGGAATATCTGAGTGTCAGTATCAAGCCATGCAAACCAAAACCATGTAACTCTTGAAGCATACAGATCTTTTACCTTAGTGTGACCAAATTTGTATTGAGTATGGTCTATATCAATTGATCCAAGAAGTTTCTCACAAGCCTTCTTGCTGTCAATGAACTGTCCCTCTGGGATAGCACTGGCATTTAATACTTTGTATCTGAGGAGAAAATGGAAGGACTTGCTTTGAACTGCAGAATGTTAAGGGTCTTTTCCAGCCTAAGTGATTCTATGAATATGAAGAAGTCTGTTGTTGAGACCAGTTGGTGCATACATAGCAAGAAAGAGTCTTAAGAACTGTTGAGAACAAACGGCACTTGTTAAACTGAAACTTTAGAGAAGGCTTTAGGCTCAGGAGGGGAAGGTTAGATTTCAAAAGCTATTTAAGATGGACAAGGTGATCCAGTAAGAGGATGAAGTCTGACCTCTGTTTAAAATCTGCATACAGGACTCTGTTGGGAAATCCTTTCCTGCAAATCCTGATCCCTTCCAGCACGCCATTACAGCGCAGCTGGTGCAGCACCAGCTCGTGCTCCATGGCACCTGGCAATGCAGAGCAGAAATACATGCCATGTTCTGTAATACAGTGGGGAAGAGCTGCACCACACTGAAAACCTTCAATATACATGTAAGTCTCTTACCAGGTGTTTTAGTTTCATTTGGAATGATGCACCGTACAAAATGGGGGTGGGTGCTTCTCAGGTTGGTCATCAGCTTGTTTAAATTCTCCTGGGAGAGTCATTAAGAAAAGCTGATATTAGCAAATTTTATTTCTGCTGTAGGCATCAAGTCCTCTGAAATGAGATACTATGCAAAAACTAGCAGAACCCTGCACTCAAGCTCTCTGCATCAGTTTTTCTGACTTTCCACAGATCTTTGCAATAATTAACTTAGCAATCTGAGCAACATTTAGGAAAGACTGTACTCTTAAATATATAATTTTAATAAATTTCACTGTCTCTAGTGGAACACCTTCATTTGAAAGGATATCCATCTTCCATTGGATGTACCCAGAGAGATAAAGCAGTACCCCTAGAAGGTGGTGTGAAGCATTCTGCAGTAGGCATTTAGGTTGGGTCATATGGAGCAGACTACATAAAACCCTTGTGTTTTCCCTACTGAATGCAAAAGAGAAAAAACAACAAGCAGAGTTCTAAGTGTCTAGATTATACATTTATCTTGTAGGGTATGGTGAGATGAATCCTAGCCTTAAACAAATGGAAAAACTGTGCATTTATTGAAATGAAGTATGAGTAGAATAACTGGATTTATTCGTAGCATAATGTGGCCCAAGAATCTTTTACAAGATCAAATCCAAAACAAGACTGGCAATAGTAATTAGTGGGTTTACACCTCATCTTAGGAAGAAATAGTGAACTCTCTACTGTACCCGAAATAGAGCTGAGACTGTCTGGAAGGAAGAACCCTTCTTCTTGCCTCCCTTCTTGCCACCACCACCACTCGCCTCGGCTAAATTGAAAATAAAACAGATTTTAGATTTTTTTTTTTTTTTTTTTTTTTAAATTTTTTTTTTTTTTTTTTTTTTTTTTCATTAGTGAAAACATAGAATCATAGAATTCAAAGAACCAACCTGCATCTGCTCCACCATAGTTGGCAAAGAGTAAAGCCAGGGTCTTCACAGATGATTTNTTTTTTTTTTTTTTTTTTTTTTTTTTTACATTTTTAGTTCCTTTTTGTAGGCTGTACATCAGTGAAAACATAGAATCATAGAATTCAAAGAACCAACCTGCATCTGCTCCACCATAGTTGGCAAAGAGTAAAGCCAGGGTCTTCACAGATGATTTCTGGTACAGCCCAATGACAGTTTCATTCAGAGGGTCCTTGTTCTTCTCCAGCCACCCAGTGATGTTGTAGTCCACTGTGCCAGCGTAGTGCACCAGGGAGAAGTGAGCCTCAACCTTGCCTTTGGTAGGTTTTGGCTTCTGGAAGTTGCTGGACTTGCCCAGGTGCTGGTCATAGAGCTTGTTCTTGAAAGAGGTGTCAGTTGCCTTGGGGAACATGCACTCCTCTTCCAGGATGGAGAAGATGCCCATGGGCTGGGAGAAACCACAAGAAGAAACCAATTGTAATTTATCTTTCAAGGCAATAATGATCTTCACCTAGGCACAGTAATGGAACATAGACTGAGATACACATCAGGAGATATTTTTATTTGATTCCATTTTATTCTAGAAAGTGGGATTGATCACACTGATACTTACATTTTTGAACACAAAATTACTCATAAAAGAAATAGAAATTAATTTTGTTTGTGTTGACAATGTACTCTGTAAAATCAGAGCACTACCTTCTTATTCAGTGGAACTCAGGGCACACACAGGCCATGTTGAACATGAGCCATTGCTGCAAAGCCACCAACTCATCCTTGGCTACACTGTGCTCTTAACATCTCAAGGGAGTTAATCCTTTCCTTCTACTCAGCTCTGAGAAGAAACCTCTGGAGTGCTGTTCCAGCTCCTGGCTACCCAGCACAAGGGAAATATGAACATAGAAGATCCCTTTGGAAAATGAGACCAATTGATTACAGAGATTCCATGCATGTAACTGATTTGAACAGGACAGATACCTTCTCAATGAGCTCAATGCAGGCAGCCAGGTCCATCCCAAAATCAATGAATGTCCATTCAATCCCCTCCTTCTTGTACTCCTCCTGCTCCAGCACAAACATGTGGTGGTTGAAGAACTGTTGCAGTTTCTCATTGGTGAAGTTGATGCACAGCTGCTCAAAGCTGTTGAACTGAAAATAAAATAAGAAAGATGCATATTTGAAGATGCAGTAATAATTGCAAGACCTCATCTTTTAAAAATAAGGAATGCAGTTAACTTGACTTCCCATGCATTTCTTCATGTCTGCTTTATGGTATTATGAAAAAGAGAAAAAGATCAAATTAACTGTCCACAAGAAACTTTTTTCATTGAAAAAAATTAAAGATAAATTATACATCCTGTTTAAAATGAGACCTAATTACAGGGAGAAAAAACCCAAACTTATGCATATCATGATCACATGTTTTTATACTGTCTTGGGCCTGATCATATAAACAATGAACTTTTTTGATTGGACAGTTTTGTACCTTTGATTTTGCACATCTTGAAATAGCACAAGTCCTTTGAAGGGTCCTTTTTTTTACTTAAAAAAGACAAATATCAATAATCAAGTGATAATATTATGTTCTTTTTAAAAATGTCTCTCAAATTGATCATAACTTTCGGTTATCATTTCCAAATAGGTCTTACCAAATCTTACTTACATCAAAGATCTCGAAGCCAGCAATGTCCAGGACACCAATGAAGTACTGCCTGGGCTGCTTCGTGTCCAGCTGCTCGTTGATGCGAACAACCATCCACAGGAACATTCTCTCATAAAGCGCCTTTGCCAGGGCACCCACTGCATTGTGCACCTACAGGAAAAACAAAAATACCCGGAGTTACAATACGAGGCAGAGGAGAATCAAGAGGATATTCGTTCTACACAGGGTTACAGGTTACAATATGTTTCTTACCTGCTGCGCTGTTTGGCCTTTGGTCACGTATTCATTCCCCACCTTGACTCTGGGGTAGCAGAGGGCCTTGAGCATGTCAGCTGAGTTCAAACCCATCAGGTAGGCAGCCTTGTCAGCAACTAAAAAGCCAGAGGAAAAAGGAAGAACTTTATGTCCAATAGGCTTTGAATCCTGGAGCATTCCCTAAAGGCTGAAGGGTTCCAATTTCTCTTCTTTGAAAACTTTTGATAGACTCTCATAGAGGAAATCTTTGTAACATCACACTTGCCATTATGCAAATTGAGCTTTTCCAAAAAAAAAAAAAATCTGATTGGAATTCTTCACTGCAGCACACAGAAAGTAATGAAGTTTTCAAAAATCTCCTGGCACAAAACTGAAAACTGAAACTTGCTAGTCTGAATGTGTGCACTACACACACAGCTCAGGAGCTGTGGTGACAACAGTCAGGTACTGATCCTCATTCAAGTGATCAAAACAACAAAATAGTTAAGAGTGGAACACAGAGACAATATCTCTGTTCTCTTTCAGATCCACAGCCTACAGCCTTTTCTGAGTTTTTGTTTCTGACATTCAGTAAAATTTGGCTTCATCCTGTTACCAGTGGTGTTCCCCACCTGCCTTGTCCTTTAACAAGAGGAGACATTGCTCACAGAACTGAAGACAGGGTTTGTAGGCCCTGTGCCAACAAAGTAAAGGAATGAAATAATACCTCTCACAGCTGACTTCCCTGAGCATCTGACAGGTGGAGGTGCATGGGAACTATGTTCTGGGAACTATGTTCTGTGGGAACTGTGTATCATGTTAGAACTGAATCACTGGGCTGTTTCACTATTACAAGCCATATTCCAGCAAAGATATGACTAAAGGAACATGCATAACTCCTTACTTCTTGAAATACTATGAAGGCCAGTTTAAAGTATTAATTGTTCATAGCATAAGATATGTAAATCCGGAAATCAGGGAGTTTGATGTACTAAGGACAAGGGACAGCTGTTTTACTTGGACAATAGTTTTCTTTGGGATATAAAGCCCAACAGTGAACAACTTTTACTGTCTTCCACATATGTAGTGGCTTACAGAAGGTTAATTATTGAGTTTGATAATACCTTCTGTGCCTTCAGGCTCCGCTTGCTCTTCTCTTGGTTTCTGCTTGAATTTCAGGTTCCCGTAGTGCATGACAGCCCCTGTCAGCTTGTAGATGGCTGTTTTCTCATCAGCAGTGAAACCCAGGATGTCAATGGCACTCTGGTAATACAATGAACAAAGTGAAACATTTGCATGTTATCTGATGTATGATCTGTGCCTGCTGACCTGTTCTGTACGTTACTTACATCTGTTGCCATCAACTCCTCCTTGTCATCAATGCTGGGGACAGTGATCTCACCTTGACTCACAAAAGGGAAGTCAAATGGGTTGGTGGTGATGAGGAGCATTTCTGAAAACAAATGTGTTCATGGGTTAAATTAAATTAATCTTGTTATACAGTTGAATGTTGCTCAGAGATTTTCCTCTCAAAAGCTCAGAGATGTCTCCTACCAATTAGCTCTGGCTTCTTGTTGGACATGATCTGATAAAAGATGTGGTAGCTCCTTTCCGCCTTGAGCTGGAAAGTGACTCTGGATTTCTCCAGCAGATCTGGCAAGGATGGTAGAAAGAGTTAGATCCTTGTGAGAATGTACCTGGATGTGGGAATTTGGGAAGGGATGGGAGCAATCCAGGAGAATGTCTTACAAGTTTCAATGTCAGCAGAAGCCAGTTTGCCTGTGGCACCAAAGTGGATTCTGATGAATTTGCCCTGTTAAGCAGAAGCAGCAGCAGGTCAGCCTGGATGTGTTCTGCTGACGTCTCCTTTGCAGGAAGACGTGCTCAGGCATCATGTGTGCTGCCATGACTGGGGGAGATCTTATGCAAAGCAAGAACTCACAAAGCGTGAGGAGTTGTCGTTCCTCACGGTCTTGGCGTTTCCAAAGGCCTCCAGCAGTGGGTTGGCGCTGATGATTTGATCCTCAAGCGTTCCCTGCAGGGACATCATTATTCAGTGTCTGTGTTTGGTTGACAGGGCAATGGCAGGCCAAGCATTCTGTCTGTCCTTTCTGACTCACCTGCATTTTGCCTGATGACTTATCCTCCTTTTTCTTGTCCCCACTGGCTGCAATTGTTGCAAAGTACTGGATGACACGCTTGGTGTTCACAGTCTTCCCGGCCCCGGATTCTCCGCTGCCCAAGCCAAGAGAGAAGCAGAGGGTGCATGGTGAGGCAGGAGGGGCCCTGGCACCGGGCAGCCCCGCAGGGACCCGCGCAGGGGGTGTACGTACGTGATCAGGATGGACTGGTTCTCCCGATCTGTGAAAGCAGAACAATGAGAGATGTGTTCGCAGCTGATCTGGGTAATGCTAAGCTGAATGAGAAGTAAAACTGCAAACTGAAGTTGGAGAGTCTTCAAAAAGTCCAAGACTACCCAATTCCCTTCAATATCTGAGTAGTATTAAACATAAGTTCAAATGGATATATTGAACAGTTAGAGATATCTGGACCTGAGACAAGCTGTGTATTACTTGCCCGTCACATAATTTTTCCTCAAGAAATGAAACCAAAATATCTACCCAAGTTCAAAACACAAGAAAAAACAACTTTTTCTTTCTTATCAGTGAAAAAATATAAAAAACTCAGTCAAGTACTATTTCTGCAGTAGGAGAGTGTAGAATTTTGTACAATAAAGTACAAATAATTCACCATGATAAGTTCATGAATGCTCCTAGGTCAGTTTAACATGAAATTGTTTGGTACATAATTCCAACCAAGTTCACAGTCATGCTTCTTGGTGACTCCAACTGGCTTGTCACATGCTCCAGTGAGATCAGCAGGGCTTTTTTGATTAGATTACTGTGAGGGAGGTCAAACACTCACCAGTCAGCATGAACTGATAGGCGTTGTCAGAGATGGAGAAGATGTGTGGAGGGGCCTCCTGGCGCTTCTTGCCTCGGTAGGCCAACACCACCTCGGGGTTGTACACCGGCAGCCACTTGTAGGGGTTGACGGTGACGCAGAAGAGACCCGAGTAGGTCTGTGAGGAAGGGACACAGCACTCAGGCTTCCCCTGAGCCTGGCCCAGCAGCTCCTGAGGCTGCCCAGAGGAAGCTGCTGCTGCCACTTACGTAGATCATCCAGGCTGCGTAACGCTCTTTGAGGTTGTACAGCACGGCGGGTTCGTGGAGGTGGGTCATCATGGCCATGTCCTCGATTTTGTCATACTTGGGAGGGTTCATGGAGAAGATTTGGTCATCCTTCACAGTCAGGGTCTGCCAAGGAAAAAAAGATCCTCATATGTCAGCTAAGAACCCAGTGAGGGAAGAAAATGTTCTTCTTGAGCCTTGTTTTTGACTCACCTCTCCCCCTTCAGTCTTGACAGTGACTTTGCCCGATTCCCTGCTTGTGATTGTCCCTTTCACAAAGGATTCTTTGGGATGAACCACAAAGACAGATGACTTGGCATCAAAAGGTTTGTTCTGAGCTGCAATTCTCTCCTTCTCTGATTTTCGGAGGTAAGGAGCTGCCTCCCCAAAAACAGCCATCTCAGCGTCTCCAGAGGCCATGTCTGCACTTTACTGAGGATATGTAAGCAGATGACTCTGAGGAGAAAAAATATGGTACTGATTATTTATTCTGTAAGATTTGGGAAAATTTTATCCTGTGTCTATGTGTCTCTTCATACTCAGGGTGTTTTAACATGAGGTTATTAGAAATCTAATTTTATGTCAAAATAAGAGGCTTTCATGAATGCAGTTTAGGTCTTCAAACGTTCATTGATGACCTTTACAGAACTGTGGATTTGGTGCTTTAAGGATGCTCTGCCTGTAAGACAAGAGTGAATATGTTGATCAAGTTTCAGTAAGACAGCACTATTAGGAATGGAAATAGAAGAAACTGTTAAAAGGATGAACTGTGAAATAAAATTACTGAAAAACTGTAGTGTAGGTGAACTACAGTCTTGGAAAACAATGAATCTGTGGGATATTTACCTTTTAATGATAATGGAAAGGTAGGGGGTAGTTACACAAATTTTGCTAATGAAGTTCTCTACTGGAAAAAAAAAAGCAGGCTTTGTGACCTCTTAATATTCTGCCACAATTAATTTGCTCTATACATTTGTCACATTTCACTACAATACTTAAATAATTTCAGCCCTAAAGTTCTGACTTAGGTAAAATAAAATTCAGTCATTGAAACTGGAATTTCCAAGACTTTGGTAAGATCTCAAATAAATACTTACTGAAAAAATCCAGAAACACATGAATTCTCAAAAGTTTTTTTTTAAGTATTTCTTCTTCAAGTGATTTATTAAACATCTAGGGTACCTAAATTTAGCCAACTTCACTTGAAAATCCTCTAGCTACTTTAGTAAAATTTATTCCCTCTTTTTTCAGGCAATAAATACATTTTTTGTCTGGAGTAAGAAAATGGGTATCTAAGAAAGCTGAGAATTCTGGCACTCTACAAAGGTGATTAGAAGGTCTGTATGTTCAGATGATTTAATAAATAATATATTCTTAAGCAGAATACAGGTTTTTGCATTTTTCCCTGCTGTGCTTATCTGGTCCCATTCTCCTCCTGCCATAGCAAAGATGAGAAGGCAGCACCCCTTGATTTTTGTAAGGTCAGTTAAGCAGCAGTGAAGAATGTCCCCATGGGGATTTTCTGTTCTGTCATCAGTACTCAGAGGCTTCAAACACAGCCTTGGGCACCCTCACCACTTTCTACTGCAATCCCACCAGGTTTGCTTATAGGATGAACCAGTGAACCTTCCTGACACCCCACCCAAAAGGATCTGTCTCTGCCCCTAAGAATCAGTAAATCAGCTTCTTACCTCCTGTGACACCAGATGTGTGGCTTCTGGGCTGGCAGCTGGTCAGTGCTGTAAAACACAAATGGCAATTCCCAAATTGCTGCTGCACAAAAATCAAGAGTGAAAACAGGCAGGTGCTTTGAAAACAGATCCGTAATGGAGTCCCCTCCTGCACAGGAGCACCGGAGGCAGCAGCAATGTGGTGGCACATTAGGCTGCCATCCCCTTCCTGGCAGCCTGCAGACCCCATCTCTTACCTTGGAGCTTTCTGTGGAGCCAGGGCAGACGTGTTGCAGGGACATTTTATACGATCTCGCCTGCAGATGCTACAGATGCCTACTCTTTCTTCGGTCAAAAATATTTTGGCAAACCCTCTTTGGTAAAGCATTGTCTGGCAAACTGAACTAAGGGCATAATTGTCATTTGACATGACTAGATATAATTAGAAATTTTTGATGTCTTAGTGGTTATATGAATACATCTTCTATAAACAATCTTCCAAGGGTGTTAAGGAGGGAATCTGGACTAGTCAAAGCACTTTAAGAACTTGGATTCAGGACTTATGGATTTTATTGCTGGCTTTCCCACCGACTCACTGCACGATCTGGGATGGATTGCTTGGTATGTCTCTGCTGCAGCTAACCCAGTAGTACAATAGATAAAACAGGGTGTTAAAGGATAAATTAGCATTATTAAAACCTTTTGGCAGTTCTGTTGGTTTAACCCTGAAAGCAGAAGTGCAGATGTAGAAGAGGTGAGGAGGGTGACAGGCACAGCAGGGTGGTCAGCCAGACGCTGCAGCAGGGGGAGGCTGGTCCAGGTTCTACCTGGACTTTTTAAGTTGATGGCTCTGACAGATGTGAGGCAGCTTTAGGGGTATCAGGAAGAGTGGGCACACACACACACACGGAGGCACGTGCCTGTGTGCCTCTTTGCAGACAGTTCAAATTGCAAATAAGTGGGAGTCTCTAAAAACTCTTCTTGTGAAACCTGGGATGGGTTATACCTGCTGAAACTCCTGATCTGCAGGTTAGTGCCAGTGAGGAAGATGTTCCCTGCTTTTGCTGGCAACTTATCTTTCACCAATGCCTGCAACCCTAGGAAGAATAAGTGATTTGAAAGCCTTCCAAGTGAAACCAGCACACCTACTTACAAATGGTAGAAAAATCCTCTTTTCAGTAACACCTGTGCAAATAATTGGATGGATGTACAAACACATCATGACAGCATGCAGTCCCAGATGCTCTTTACCTGATACATCCTCAGTCCAGCACTTCTGTTTCATTACAAATACCTTGCACACTTAATCCAAAACACCATGGGTATACCAGAGCACTGGGGGTGGCAGACGTGCCTGGACAATGCTGATGAAGAGAGGGGAAGGGGATTTACTGATGGTGCTGGAGAGAGACTAGTCTTGGTTTAGGAATAGAGCACAGCCATGTGAGCTGATTTATATCCTGTCAGATTTAGGCTGAGGTACTTAAACAGCTTCTTTGCCTCAGTCATGAACAGAAGGAGTGGTTATCCTCAGGGCAACCAGCCCCTTAAGCTGTTAGTCAGAGGAGCAGAATGGACTCACTGCAGTCCAAGAGTTAATCAGCAATCTGATGATTTTAGACACTCACAAGTCTGTGAGGCCAGACAGGATTCACCTGAAGCCACTGAGAAACTGTGAGAAGAATTTGCCCAGCCACCTTCCATCATTTATCATCAGCCCTGGCTAACCAGGACTTTCCTGTAACCAGGTGTGAGAGACTGGAAAGACTGATGTCCTGAGACATTCTAGGATGCATGAGGATATGTCAGCAGATGACTCTGAAAAGAAAAAATATGAGAAAAATAAAAATGGGAAAAATATGGGGAAAATATGCCTCTGGTGAGGCAGAGCACTTCCCCACACCCCACCCCACCTTGAGCCATGATTCTATGATCCTATAGCTGAGAGTAGTGGGCTAGATCACCTGACTTTGGGGACGTTGCCTTTCCAGTGGCCAACAATGAAGCCCTTCTACTCAGAGAGCTCTTCTGGGTGTTTGCTGTTGTGCTGTGCAGCATGTGGACCCAGCTGTGCAAGAGGCAGGAGTGAGGCACACAGCCAGGTAGCTCTGGGCAGGCAGCCAAGGGAAGGTCTGGTTTGAATGGGAAGCAGTCAATGAGTTGAGATGTCTCCAGGTATTGACACTCACCAGTGATTTGGGGATTGAATTTAGTGTCAGTAGGTCCCCATAGTCCAGTGACAGAACATAAAAACTTTTTTGAAAATGGTCCAAATCTCAGAAGAGGGTTGTGAAGTAGAACAGAACAATGAAAGAGATTCTTTCATCCAGATGGCTTTTGAATGTCCCAAGCAATTTCACAATAGCTCTGGGAAACTTGTGCCAGTGCTCAGTCACCCTTACAGGAAAAAAAGTATTCCCAGATTTTTCACAGGGGAAATTATATGTCAGATTGTGCCCATTGCCTCTTGTCTTGTCCCTGAGCAACAATAAAAAGGGCCTGGTTTCATCCTCTGTGCACCTCCAGGTATTTATACCCATGGATATGATTCACCTGATCATTCTCTTCAGGCTGAACAGCCTCTGCTCTTTCATCCTTCTCTTATGAGAGAGATGCTCCAGTCTCTTATTCATTCTACTGGCCTTTTTCTGGACCCTCTCCAGTAGCGCTGTATCTCTCTTACACTGGTGAGCTCAGCACTGGATATGTGGCCTCAGTGCTGAATTAAGGGCAAAGATCACCTCCCTTTACCTGCTGCAACACTCCTCGTGCAGATACCATTCACCTTCCTCACAGAAAGAACACACTGTTGGCTCATGTTCAACTTGCTGCCCCCCAGAACTCCCAGGTTCTTTGTTTTGCAAAGCTATTTTTCACCTGGTCAGCACCCAGAATTTACTGATGGGCTTGTTCCTCTCCAGGTTCAGGGCTTTGCCCTTGTTTTGTGTTATTGGGTCCCAGATTCACCTCAGGGTTTTGCCTCACCAGTGCTCAGCTGCACACTGTCCTTAACACAGAAAACACTTAATGTTAATGGCAATTGTAGAATCACAGAGACTCGAATCTTACTGCCATGTTTATCTGTATTGCTGATTAAGTTACAAAAAGAAAATAAAATGTTAAAACATCAACTACTTTTACACGAAAGTTCTAAATTCATACTCATTTCATTTTTTCCTCTTTTGCATTAACAAAATAAGAACACAGAAAACAAGAACTTCTCTTTCAGTGTTTGGAGTTGTTGTTTTCAAATATCTTTTTGAAGGAAATTAGAGCTTTAGCCCTAGCAATGGTAGCTGTAAGAGCATGCATTGTGAATACAGGTAGTATATGAACTCTCAGTCAATGTCTACAGGGGAAGGACACTACATTTGTGGAAGCTGGAAGAGGAGACAGGAGCAAGTGCAAAAAAAAGGTTGGGCAAATAACCCAGGATTCTGTGGTGTAGTATGTGACACAAAGCTCATGGAAAGTGAAGCGTTTGGTCAGCTGTCATAAGCATCTCTGAAAAGCAGTCTAAGCTACTGAGCATCTGCTTTGGATTTAGTTTAATTTATACAGCTCTTCTCTTTCACCAAGGTACCATTTATATGACGCTGGTATAGTGATTTCTTACAAAGAAGTAGTCTCCAATCTGAAATGGATGATTCAGATTTCACTGTAGTTTCACTCTCTAGATCCCAAAAAATTTGCCATATGTCCTCTATCCAGGTACATCAAGGAGAAATCTGTCCGGGAAGGAATCTTTTG